GCTTGTTGCTCAGACGATAGATAGGATGGATATGGCAACTTCAAGCCCAGGGCATCCTTTACACTTGACTAATGCAGGCTTTACGTATCAAGCTCAAAGCGCTAACATACCATTCTCCTCTTCCGTCTCCTCTGCCCGCGTCATGAAAAGCTGGTTCTCCAGGTCTTTGACCAACTGGAGGGCCCTCTCTTTGCTTCGCTGCTCCTCCTCCAGCTGTTCTTGGAACTCACGGAACCGGCGCTGCAAGTGGTTCTCCTTCGTCAGCATCTCGTCCTCGAACTCTTCGCGGGCACGACGCAGTTGCCTGGTCAGTGTGGTCACTCGGTTTCGCATTTCATTCAGCTCACTCTCAAGTACATCATGGTCGTCCTGCTCGGTGTCCAGCCGTTGCTAAATGATCGGGAAGGACAGACGAGGCCCACAAATATCTGAGTTTAGCGTGACCCCAATAAGCATAATGGCATTAGGGTACCAAATAAGAATTTGAGTCAGCCTAGGTCATCTAAGATGATGTAGATCGCATATGGGAATTTTCATCATGGCTACGTTAAAGTTTACTTCATCATAACTCTCGAAATGTTTTCTTATCCAAATTGGACTGCACTTTACATCTTGTTTTGGTCTTGCTTATCCCAAAAGCGAGACTCAAACTCGTACGTTTAATGACAACACTCTTTCGCTCTGCGAAAAAACCAGTTGGTCGCAGAGCAGATGTAGCCCTAAAACGTTCGAGAATATCTCATTTCACCTCTATACATGAACCGAAGTTAACCAGACAAAGTTCCTCTAAGGGTGCTGTTGAGACCTAGGCGATATCGAAATTGCAATCCACCCTGGATGAGAATACCATTTGGGAAGCAAAGCTTTGTGAAATTAAATGGAAACGTATGGTCTCTTCATATAATTGCGAGAAAATTTGGCTACCATTCTCCAGCGCCTTATACGAAATAGGGTAAACACGACTCATATATTTTAGAAACCTACTCATTATGTGTTTACCACTAGAAAGAGAAGAACAAGGCATGTCTGTGCTAAACTAATTGTCAAATTGACCAAAAAGCATCAAACCGATCATTTCGGGCACAGTCTCCTCGCGATAAAGGATGTGTTCTCAATTCTCCCATTATAATGACGCTTAATTGTTAAATGGAGCATTCGCAAATCTCATAAAGCAACCTAAAATTACTAAGTTCCAATTCACATCTATTCATGCAATGTTAGATTTCATGAATTGGGCGAGCCGGGGAATTTGGAGATATTATTTGTGCTTACTGTCCCTCAGATGGAAGGGGTTCATTTTCTGTTTTGAAGAGATCTGAACCATTTCCAATGTTCGTTCTATTTGGGTTGTAAAGTGTTTTCATACTTAATAAGTAGTCCTTTGGGTTCAGGACTATCAAATGATCTTTAATAAAACCTTTTTTACTAAATAAAGTCATCCAATATGATATGGATTATTGATTTAATTTACCCATAATGAAATGAGTAGGTCTCCTGGTATCATTAAATTTTACATAGCTTGCCTCCCCAAACCTCTTTTCATCCTGACTGCATGGGAGCCTCGAGGTCGCTTGAGTCTTATAAGCTCTTCCAGTGGAATCAGAAACCAGTTCATAAGCATATGGTAGCAACAAGTTACACTCCAACACAGGGCAGGGATCACGTTCAAATCTAATTTTATATTGGGATTATCGATGGTGCAAGCTT